TCTGCTTCATTATAGAGGAGATCCAAGATGAAAACAAATTTTACTGAGGGGGATCAAACATCTGGGCTGGGAAATATTGAAATCAAACAGTCAAAATATGTTGTTGTTGTTGTTCAGTCGCACAGTCGAGTCCGACTCTTCGCGACCCCATGGACCAGCTCCCGCCAGGCCCCCCGTCTTCCGCTGTCCTCTGAAGTTGGCTCAATTTCATGTTCGTTGCATCGATGACACTGTCTAACCATCTCATCCTTTGCCGTCCCCGTCTTCTTTGGCCTTCAGTCTTCCCCAGCATCAGGGTCTTCTCCAGTGAGTGCTCCATTCTCATTGGGTGGCCAAAGTATTTGAGCTTCAGTTTCATTATCTGGCCTTCCAGGGAACAGTCAGGGTTGATTGACTGAATCTCCGTCTTCTTTGACCTTCAATCTTTCCCAGCATCAGGGTCTTCTCCAGTGAGTGCTCCCTTCTCATTTGGTGGCCAAAGTATTTGAGCTTCAGTTTCATTATCTGGCCTTCCAGGGAACAGTCAGGGTTGATTTCTTTTAGGATTGACTGATTTGATCTTCTTGCAGTCCAAGGGACTCTCAAGAGTCTTCTCCAGAACCGTAGTTCAAAAGAATCTATTCTTCGGCGCTCAGCCTTCCATATAGTCCAACTCCCGCAGCCATACATGACTACTGGGAATACATGACTACTGGGAATACCCCTCCCAAAAATATGGTTTTCTGTCCAGGTGTAATGGATATAGCCAGAAGTATAGGGGAACAGTTGCTGGAGTTGACAAAAAGAAGCATAGAAAATTGTCTCTGTACATAGGAAAAAGAGATAGTCTGGCCTCTTAGTGAAGTGTGCCAAAAAGTCAAAATATAAGGACATGTAAATAAAACCATACAGTCACTGCAAACCCACAAGTTACTCCACTCAAGAAAGAACACAAGTGACCAACGCGGAAGCAAAAAAGCGAATGCACAGCTACTTATTCAAAAAAGTCTGTGTGAAGGACCTGATACCCACAGTAAGGACCAAGACATAGCTTTAAGAGGGGATTAGATAGATTCATAGAGGATAAGTCTATCAGTGGATGCTAGCCATGGTGACTGAGGGGGAAGGCCCTGTTGTTGGCCCTTCAGAGGAACTGGTTGGCCACTGTGTGAGACAAGATGCTGGACTAGGTGGACCCCTGGTCTGATCCAGCAGGGCCCTTCTGATGTTCTTATGAAGGCCTCGGCCTCTCTGCCCTGTTGTTGGCCCTCCAGAGGAACTGGCTGGCCACTGTGTGGGACAGGATGCTGGACTAGAGGGACACCTGGTCTGATCCAGCAGGGCTCTTCTGATGTCCTTATGAAGACCTAGGCCTCTCTGCCCTGTTCTTGGCCCTCCAGAGGAACTGGTTGGCCACTGTGTGAGACAGGAGGTTGGACTAGAGGGACCACTGGTCTGACCCAGCAGGGCTCTTCTGATGTCCTTATGAAGGCCTCGGCCTCTGTGCCCTGTTGTCGGCCCTCCAGAGCAACTGGTCGGCCACTGTGTGAGACAGGAGGTTGGACTAGATGGACCACTGGTCTGATCCAGCAGGGCTCTTCTGAGTTTCTTATCATGGGAATGCCTCAGCCTCTGTGCCCTGTTGTTGCCCCTCCAGAGGAACTGGTTGGCCACTGTGTGAGACAAGATGCTGGACTAGGTGGACCATTGGTCTGATCCAGCAGGTCACTTCCTTTAAAAGACTGATTTCTAATTCATAAGGGGAACAGAGCAAAGAACACATTTTGTACGTCAACAGGTAGTTCCACAACACATAAACATGGGGGGGGGGTGGATGCAGCAAAACTGCTTTGTGATCACATTCTGGCTTCAGTTATTAGAGAGTCAGCTATGTCCCCCTCCCAAAAAAGATGGTTTTCTGTCCAGGTGTAATGGATATAGCCAGACGTATAGGGGAACAGTTGCTGGAGTTGACAAAAAGAAGCATAGAAAATTGTCTCTGTACATAGAAAAGAGAGGTAGCCTGGCCTCTTAGTGAAGAGTGCCAAAAAGAGAGTTTAGAGACTAGAAATAAAACATCTTTGAAGAGAAGCAAGAAGACAAAGTAGAAATATAATTATTTTGTTTTGCTTACGTTGTTTGTTTTTTCACCTTGTTTTAGGGCTGCCAAGTCCCCCTAGGGGGCGGGGATTCTCCCGCCAAAAGGGCTCCCAATCTGCTGGTCCTGATCCGACTGGCGGGGAAACCCCACCCCCGAAGTGGCCAGATCAGGCCGACATGTCCAGCGCAATGACATCGCCTGTAAGTGACATAATCATGCTGGGCACGTCACAGGGTGACGCTCTAGCAATCACCCTGAAAACTTTATGGTACCATAGAGTTTTTTAGGGTGATTGCTAGAGCGTTACCCTGCAATTTGCCCAGTGTGATGATGTCACTTCCTGGTGACGTCATTGGGGCATGCGTGTGCAAAGTGCGTGAAACTCCCTGACCGGGACCAGCCCCCCCCCCCCCGCTATGCCAGGTAAGAGACTTGGCAACCCTACCTTGTTTTTATTTCCTGGTTGTATACCAAATTTGTAATGGCCTTTGGACTCATGCAATAAATCTAAAACTGAAAATCTGAAATCTATAGATAACTTTGTATGGTGTTTGAAGTTCTTAGGTCATGAGTGAGCCAAGAATATGCATACTTATCAAGTGGGAAAGTTAGCTATAGGGTTGTGGGGGGATGGTACTTTTCAGGTTCAGATGTAGTGAAACCGAAAAATATCGGTATTTCCCAGTCTCCCCAAATCCCAATATGATATTGGAATTTGGGAAATAATTGAGATTGTCAAATTTATTCAGCTCCATTACACCCTATGGGTATGATCTCCATAGGGCAGGGATGTCAAACATGCAGCCCAGGGGCCGGATCAGGCCCCCAGAGGACTCCCATCAGGCCTGCAGTGGGACTAGCTGTCTTCTGCTGCTTCCTCCAGTTCTGCTGCTGCTGCATTATTGTAGGTTTGCAGCTTACAGATACACACCTGAACACAGCATACTTAAGACTGCAACAGCACAGACATTTTTTTATAATATATTTATTGAGTTTTCAAGTTATAAACAGTAACATAATAGCTTATAGACAATAACATCATCAAAAGTCGACATGTCAACCAGAAATACTTTTTAACAGCAACTAAATCAAATAAGAAATGTTCTAATATTCCCAAATCATTCCATTAATCAACCACTAACCAAGTACTAATCTCTACATATGACATTCATCAAATTCCATACCAACAATCTGATTTGGTGCCAAATTTTGACCATCTCAAACCATCCAGTACTCGGGAGTCACCTAACCATTCCTCACTGTAACTACAACTACATTCTAATACATCTCATTTAATCCAATAAGCTATGAATTACTTGTTTTAATATAAACATATATATTGTAAGAATTTATTTTATTTTTATGTATTTTATCATTTTCTACACTTATTTGAATTTTCAAAATTAACATCCACCCCTTCTAATTCTGAGGTACTTCGTCATACAGTTATTTTACTATTGTAATATTCCTTACGTCCCTTCATTTTTTTACTAATTTCTTATATACCTTTATTTTCATCCCCAACCACTTCATTGAAAATTAATGCCCTTTAACTAATCACTTTTCAGCATCTTTCCAGACTCTTCCACATTTTACATTCATTCACACTTACACATACACCTAATTATTTTACTAATCATGAATTAATTATAATCCATATAATATTCCCTGGTCTAAATCCAATTTATAAATTTCCGTTAAACTTTCATCTCTACATTTATTTACTATTTTAGCCTTTAACCTCCCCTTCCATTATCTTCACCCTCTATTATTCCCCTTACAACACCAACCACTATAACTTTTAACAAACTTTCCATTACCAGGTTCTTCCAGCTGAGCAAGTGTCCGCAAAAATTTATAGATTAATCTTTCTATATATCTTCATTCTCCTTCTAAATATCTATAGCCTTTTCCCTTGTAGCAACATGTCTCTATGCTTCTGTTCCTTGAATGTATGGTAAATTTTCTCCAAGCTGTTTCCATTAACTCTCAGCAAATCATGTTCCATTTTTGTAATGTCCCTTTTAAATTTCCACTTACGCAGTCTTTCCTTTCTGTCTTTCCAGCCTTTTTCTCTCTTACAATGTTTATTTTGCACAAACTTTTTTGGTATTCCCATCCTTGCTTTTTTCATGTTTGCTGCCTTCTTTCTCAATATTTGAGTTAGTGGGAAAGAAGGGGGCAAAATCTCAACATAGTTCTTTCTTTGCAGACACCCCCCACTTTCCTTTGGGCTCTTAGTAGATTGTTCTGGCTCCTCCTTATATGGGCCTTCTTAAGCACATGTTTACATCTGACCTGCCCTGAGTCATCTAGAACATAAGCTTGGAAATAGGGAAGTCACATAAAGTGTCTGAAAATGGACATGGTGAAACTTCTCCCAGAGACAATCATTTGACTACCGTTGAAGTGATAAATTAAGTGTAGATCTACTCTTGTGCTGCTTTTGTTGCTTTTATGGGGGGGGGGGCAGAAAAATAGGAAGTAAGCAGCCTGGCAATGCAATGTGGCATGGAGGGAATTATTATCATAGCAACACAAGTTGATGGTGAGCTACTTCAAGGGGTAGAGGGGAGTCCTGTCCCATCAACTCATGCTACCTTACCAAAGTCCAAGCTAGATGTTCACTTAGGTGATACCTTCTGGACCAGAGGTTTCAAACTCAGTGCAGTGCAGGGCAGATGCCCCCACGATGCTTGACTGCTGCAGACGAGGTTGTCCTGTCATGCTGAAGTCACAACAGAGAGGCTCCCCCAACTACCCCCCCCAGCACTTCCTCCCTTGCATCAGTTGCTTGCAGGCTGCATGGGAGCTCTGGACGGGCCAGTTCTGGCCCGCAGGCCTTATGTTTGACACCCCTGTCCTAGAGAATACCTGGAATTATATTCCTCACTTCTTTCCTGCCTTGTTTCCTCTGCAGGGGACCGTGTCTGTCTGGGAGAGCAGCTGGCGAGAATTGAGACTTTCATCTTCTTCACCACCCTGCTGCGGGCGTTCACCTTCCAGCTGCCAGAAGGAGTAAAGGCGCTCAGCACAGAGCCTATCGTTGGGGTATCACTGTCTCCCCAACCGTATAAACTCTGTGCTGTTCCCCGCTGCAGTGCATCCTAAACTACACAGAACGTAGCTCCTTTGTTACTGCCAATTTCTCTTTCATTCCTTTTGCTTCATCCTAATCCTGCTCTCACCTGCTCAATTCATTCTGTCTTTGGTTTCTCTGTCAGAGCAAGACGAATGCCTCCTCGGGATGGAATCCAGGCAGATCTGTGATGTTCCTAATGGTTCACTTATTAGTATTACATGGCAAATGTATCAGGATATGTGGTTAATACAGCAGAGTGTGATACAGCAGAGTGTGATACTGCACACAGTAAAATAGATCTCTCAAGAAGTAGATTGCCAAATTAAAATTTACTTCAGTTAGATTCTGTTCACATTCAGGTTGCAATCAAAAGCAGCAGAAAATAGTAAGGGTGATTCTGCATTGGCTTTTCCCTCCATTGTTTTACGAAACCAACCTCGGAAGAGAAATTCCCCTCAGCATTGCATTCCGCTTTCACTTTCCATGATCATCGGGTTTTATGGTACCTTCCGCATAGATTTATGGCCGTTCAGGGGTGTCTTTGCAGCCAGTCCGGCGTTGCCCCAAGGCATTTGAATGTAGTTTTGAGCTGCACTTTTCCCTCCCAGTTGAGAATATTGACAAATAATTTGCAGACATTTTGGGTTTTGCTGGACTGAACTGGGACTTTTGTTATCGCATTAAAATGGGTGATCAGGACACACAGAAAAAAAAAACCAGATGATGATAACTCCTCAAAGTTATAAGGGGAAAAATATTCCAGAGAGAAGATAATACTGAATTTATGGAATCCTTTACTACATTAAAAATTGCATACAGATGGCGAGACTTAAAAGAAACCTTCTCTACCTACAAGGGAAACAGACATAGAATCAAGACTTTATTGAAAAGAAGAAATCACAAAAAGAAGAAAATAATCAAGCCCTATAAATAAGACTGGTTTAGGGGACCCTTGTTTATGTGCAACTGACTAAAATGGGCTGGGGAATATCTAATCCCTTTTTTCATATATATATATCCATATAACTGCAAATTATAAAACTGGTCCAGGGAATATTTATACATGTGTAATTGATTAACATTGGTTATAATTGAGTTTGTTTTTCTATACATTTACAAAATTAGAGCCCATATTTAAAATATTCAAGGGAAGATTAATTTAATTGTGTTAGAAAGTCTTATGACAGATGATATAAATTATAAGAGAATAAACTGTATAAACTTTTTGGTCTAGAGAACATTTATGAATGTCTATCTGAATAAGATTGGTTAGAGAAGTATGTTTAAAAATTTTAACTCATATTTAGGTAAGGCTTATAACAGAGGATTGCATACATTGTAAACTTATAAAGGTATCAAAGTTTTAATCTAATATAAAAGGTGTTATATAAACAAGGTTGGTTTAAGGATCCTATGAGCGTGTGTAATTGGGGGTAGATTGTTTATTAAATGGAAGATTATTTTAAAATGTTTAATTAAGGCTGATATTAAGAATTCAGTTTGATCAAGAGGCAGGCTAGAGATTTTTTTTGGTGACATTAAAACAAATAGAATGAGAAAAGAATTTACAAAATTAGAGCCCATATTTAAAATATTCAAGGGAAGATTAATTTAATTGTGTTAGAAAGTCTTATGACAGATGATATAAATTATAAGAGAATAAACTGTATAAACTTTTTGGTCTAGAGAACATTTATGAATGTCTATCTGAATAAGATTGGTTAGAGAAGTATGTTTAAAAATTTTAACTCATATTTAGGTAAGGCTTATAACAGAGGATTGCATACATTGTAAACTTATAAAGGTATCAAAGTTTTAATCTAATATAAAAGGTGTTATATAAACAAGGTTGGTTTAAGGATCCTATGAGCGTGTGTAATTGGGGGTAGATTGTTTATTAAATGGAAGATTATTTTAAAATGTTTAATTAAGGCTGATATTAAGAATTCAGTTTGATCAAGAGGCAGGCTAGAGATTTTTTTTGGTGACATTAAAACAAATAGAATGAGAAAAGAATTTGACTATGAATTTGGGGAATTGTATAGATTTAGTTAATGTCTAAATGTATCTTATAGAAGATTATTGTAGAATGTTTAGACAATGCTTAAATAGAAGAAACATGTTTTGTTAATCTACAGAGTTGCAAAAATTATAGACATCTGCTTATGAAATTTTAAGATATAGTTAAATCTGGATTTACAGAGAATGGTAATGAAATATTTTTGATAGTGCTTAAATATTAAAAAATAGTGTAGTGTTTAACATAGGCCTGCAATTAGGCATATATGTATGAGGTAGTTTAAGAAATATAATATTGTTATTACTACTCTCATGTATGTTTGTTTGTTTGTCTGTCTATTTGTTTTTATTAAAATAATAAAAAACTATTATTAAAAAAGAGCCATGTGAGGAATGGTACAGAACAAAGGGCACACAGAGAGAGGAGGGGTCAGAGGGCAGCTCCCAAGTTAAGAAGAAGAAGAAGAAGAAGAAGAAGAAGAAGAAGAAGAAGAAGAAGAAGAAGAAGAAGAAGAAGAAGAAGAAGAAGAAGAAGAAGAGATTGGATTTATCCCCTGCCCTTCACTACCCAAAGGTGTCTCAGAGCGGCTTACAGACTCCTTTCCCTTTCCCTTCCCCTCCCCACAACAAACACCCTGTGAGGTAGGTGAGGCTGAGAGAGCTCTTGACAGAAACTGCTCTTTTTCAAGGACAACTCTTATCAGAACTATGGCTTGCCCAAGGTCATCCAGCAGCTGCAAGTGGAGGAGTAGGGAATCAAACCCGGTTCTCCCAGATTAGAGTCCGCGCACTTAAACACTACATTAAACAAGACAAAAACACGCATCCCATTCAAGGGGATAACATTTATAAACACAGAGTGATATAGAGCCCCTCAATGTCCAGATATGCTGAGCTGCTTTGTCCAACAAAATAATCTTATTTGTATTACGATATCTTGAAATTTATGCTCAATGCAGAATTCTGATGATACATAAAGCCAGACAAAGCTGTGTAACAAAGGACACTACAACAAAGGTGATAATGCAAAAACCTCTATGAATAACAACAAAATATAATCCAAGTACAAATATATATCCATAAAGGTACAGTTCACATATAATGAGATCCGATGTACAATTTCACAGAAAGTCTTCAATGTTCGTGTAGACAAGTCCTAACAATGAACGAAGGATCCGGATATTATAAACTTTGTTTCATTGAACTTCCTCAATAGTGACCAGGGGTCATTTCCTGCAGAAGCGCACAGGATTGGAGCTCCGGAAGTAAAGAGCCCAGGTGGCAGGCACATGCAACAAGCCCCACCCCCTGCTTCCAGCAGCCCTCAGTCAGAGCAATAAGCAGCCAGGTAAGTTGCAGAGCCCCCCCGCCGACTCCCGGTCCAAAACAGTCCAGTGGCACCTTTAAGACCATGTTTTATTCAGGTACAATCTCTCCCTCCTCTGCGAGGACAGATCTACACGTTCCCCCACAATAGCTAGCAATCCAAAGCAGTCCAATGGAGCCTTAGTGATGGGTGTTGCCTTCTGACACACTTCTTCCGGTGATGTCATGGGGAGTGGCATATGCAAATAAGTTATGCTAATGATTTATGCTAATGAGCTCCTGCACCTCTTTTTCTATGAAATGCAGGGCCAGCCTGAGGTGTTTATGCACCCTAGGCGAAGCCAGCTTGTGGTGCCCCCCAGGTGATGCCAACCTCCTTTGGGGGCCTGGAGACCTCCCAGAAACATGCTGGGGGGGCACTGGGCACCACAAGCTAGCCTCGCCCCTGCCCAGGTCGGCTTCCCACTCGCCCGGCCTGCTGGGGGAGATGCGCGTGACCAGAGCCCCGGCCTGAGCAGTTCCGGGGGGGAGGGGGTCTTCCTTCCTTCCTTTCTTCTACAGCTGGAGCATGGGGGGGCTGAATGGACCCACAGAGCTGCAACAACCCGCCTTGCCAACTCCTCCTCCCCCTCCACCCCCAGCGTGAGTCTCCCTCCCCTACCCCCCGGTGGGCGGCCCTCTTGGCAGCTGGCGGGGAGCAGCAGGAACTTCTGAGGAAGCTGGCCAAGGTGGCGGGCCGGCTCTGCCCCTGCCCCTCCCGGCGGCTCACCTCTCCCCCTTTTGCTTGGGCAAGTCTGGCCAGGGTTGGGGGGGCAGCCGCGCCGCCTTCTCTTTTGTGTAGACACTGGGGAGGAGATGCGGGGCATCCGTGGAGATCAGGAATCCAAACCTGTGTCTCCCTGAAAGGCCGCCAGGGCTGCAGCCTGCCTCCGGGAGGATTCGGCTTGCGCAGTCGGCGGGGGACTGGTGGCCCGCTCCCATCGCCCCCTCTCCCCGGCCCCGCCAGCACTTTCCTGCCTTCCTCTTGGTCGCCCAGCTGGGAGACACCCCACCAATTCACCCAGCCCACCCGTGGATGTGGCTCTGGGGGCCCAGCGAGCTGCAGAGAGAAGCGGGGAGGGAAGGCGGGTGCGGCTCGGCGGCTCTTTGCCCCACATCAACGTGGATGAGGCCCCCAAGAAGATCCGAAATGGCCAAGAGGAGGTTCGGGAGGATCCGAGGTTCCCTTTGTGTCCGGGAACCAAGCTCCTAACTTAGCCGCGGACCCCTGGTGGCAGTCCACATACATAACACAACGGAAGACAGGAGGGCCTGGTGTGATGTGGTCCATGGGGCCGTGAAGAGTTGGACCCGACTGCAACTGAACAACATCAACAACCTGTAGCTTTAAGAAACAAATACCCCCTGAGACCTCAGTAGCCATTGTGGGGACTGCCAGACAACCACAACAATACTGCCAGCCTTAAAACCTTGGTTTCTGTCAGTAAAAGGCAAGGGGAGTACTTAGGGTTGCCAAGTCAGGGTTGGGAAATACCTGGAGACTTTGATCTCTGTCAGCTGGAGATCAGTTGTAAAAGCGGGAGATCTCCAGGCCCCACCTGGAGGCTGGCAACCTTGGGAGTACATGTTCCAGGCCTCTTTTGGCCTCCCAGTCCATTCCTGATCCTCTCATTACAGCCAGGCTCAACAGCAACTAGTAGACAACTCAGTAAGGTTCAGCCATGGCTCCTGGATGACATGATGCCACACAGCTCACCTGGGTCCAGTGGCAGCCTCCACGCAACTTGGGCAAGTCGGCTGGGCCCAGAAGCAGCCACCGCACAAATCACCTGAACAATTTGCTACCGCATGAATTCCACAAGTTGCCCAGACTTTTCCCAGGGAGAGGCTGCCAGGAGAAGGGAAGGAGGGAAAGCTGGAGGACCAGTGTTATGTACTGGGATTGAATCATTCCTGATTGAATCACCCCAGAGACTGGCTGAGCTTAGAGCAACAGAACAATAGCCTGCCAGGATTCTGGAAGTAACCAGTCTAGTAGTAATGTTATGTAAATATCCTATCACTGGGAGTGTTGCGTGTTTGGGTGTGGCAATTGCATGCTATTTGACAGAGCTGAGGCTCTGGAGTCTTGTCTTGTGCTTGCTGAAATCACTATTAAAGTAGAACTGATCACTAGGCTTGTGGTCTGTTCATCCATGGAACCCACTATTTAACACTGGCGACGAATGTGGGATCCTGTTGAGCCAGCCCAGAGCCCATCTGCACTGCACTGCGCATCAAGCTCCAGTGCCACTCACATCGCATCGCAACTGGGACCATGGCTGCTGCTCCAGGACATCTGCCAGAATTCGACCCCGCTCACCCAGAGCTT